GAATCGATCGGCACGGGGCGGAGGTGGGGTGGGGAGTCGGAAGGAAGGCTCATCGGCGTCTCGGGGCTCTGTGGGCCCCGCCGAGGCACAGGCCGGTCCCGGTTACAACTTTAGGGCGAGGCAGAGACTGGGTCACACTCCAGGGAATAGGAGGCGATTAGGGTTTGGCAATATTGGCACATTCTATGGCCTAGAAACTTAACCCAGAAAGGTTTCTTGCTTTGTCAGCAATCAGGAAAAGGCAGAAATGGCAAGGATTCTGAGGCTGAAAAGCAGATTTTTTTTTCATCCCATTCTGGGGAAGGGAGCCTCTGAAAGCAAATCTCCCGTCAAGAAAAACAAGTGTCCGCGGATGACCTGCCATGAGCCAACCGCTGGTCTGGCTGCCGCCGAGGAGGTAGGGAGTTCGGGCCTCATTCCGTCCGTCGGTCAGCTTAGGCACCAGTTAGCCAACTATTGCTTTTCTTCTGTATCATTTAGAGCAGTGGTTCTCAACCTGTGGGTCGCGACCCCTCTGGCGGTCGAACGACCCTTTCACAGGGGTCGCCTCAAACCATCCTGCATATAAGATACTTACATGACGATTCATCACAGTAGCAACATGACAGTGATGAAGTAGCAACGAAAATAATTTTATGGTTGGGTCACCGCATGAGGAACTGTATTGAAAGGGCCAGAAGGTTGAGAACCACTGATTTAGAGAATGACGGCGCTCTAAAGCAGACCCTGGAGGACTGGGACAGGGAAAGGGCATGTGCCCAGTTTGGGGGCGCGATCCCCAGTGCGGGGTGTGCAGGAAGCAGCTGATCTATGATTCTCTCTACTCAATGATGTTTCTCTCTTTCTCTCTCCCTCTCCCTTCCTCTCTGAAACCAATAAAAAATATATATGTATTTTAAATGTACCCTCTTTCCCTCTGACTAACAAGAAGTTTGCCACAGAAAGCGTCTGGAAATAAATTATACATGAGACATGGATTCTAAACTAGTTGCAGGTTTTGTTCCAGGATATTTTTACTTTTCTCTAAACATTCCCTCCAGGGGTGAGCTATCCTACCAAGAAGTTCAATGGAATTGGAAAGAACCGTCCAGGAACCCACATGACCCCATCACAGGGAGCCAGGCCCGTAACAGGGTCCCCGAGGCCCTACTGGCTCTTGGCACTTGTATCTTCCCTTTAAAAGAGCTGAGCAGTATTACCGGAGGGATGGTCCTCACGGAGCTTCTTGCAAAGAGAACCCGTGATGCCCCCTATCATGGGCCTGGTGAACATGTGGGCTCTGGTTAGACCGACTTGCCTTCGGGTCCCAGCTCCACTAACTTACGAGGTATGAGGCCCAGGGACATGCTCTTAACCTCCCTCGGCCTTGACCTCCTCATCTGTGAAGTGGGGCTACTGCATAGGGTTGTGAGGATTAAAAGAGTTAACACTTTTAAAGGCATATAGTAGTCACTCAAGAAATGCAGGCAGCTACGACCATTGTCACACGTTAGAAATCCCCCAAGAAACAGAGAATTCCCATCCGGAAAACTCCTGAGGCACGGCTGGTCTCCCTAAGGTGTTCCCAACAGCCGCCTGTGAGTCTATGCGTCTCTCTTTTCACTGCATTTTCTCTCTCCATCAAAGTACACCGTCCGCTCCAGGGCGGGGCGAGAGGAACCGCATTAGCAGATAGAAGCGCTGGAAATGAAGGCGCTCCCTATGGCAGGGGCTCCGTGACCACTTCTCCAAGCATCTGACTGTCGGCAGGACAGATACCGAGCTCCAACGGGACATGGCTCTCTCCCCGGGTTCTGGCAGATGAACCAGGAGGCATTTACTAGCCTCCGCTTGGGTCAAGGAAATTGGGACAAGGTTTGAAAGTGTCTCCTTGCACATTTGTAGAGTCAGCAAATGGCTAACCTCCGGCACAGCACTGTCACGCAGGAAGGGACATCGTCCCAAACCATGCAACTCGGCACAGGCTCAGTCTGACTCCCCACCATCTCGGACCTGAGGTTCTCGCTGAGTCTAAGGGAGGTGACCATTCCGGGGCCCCCGAAACACCCGACCCAAAGGTTTGATGGCGGCCGCTCACCGCTGGGGATCTCAACCAGAAGCCCCTGAGGGTGGAAGAGCCGGGAGGGAGGAGGCGCGGGCTTCCTGCCTCGTGACTCTGCTCAAACATCAAAGGGCACTGACCCCAGAACGAGGGGGGTGGCCCCAGCCTGCTCTGTGCCAAGTGTGAGCTCAGGGACGCTCTAAGGAGCTTTAGGCAGCAGCTAAGGGTCAGGATAGTAATAATAAAACTAACACCTACCAAACGCTGAGCATTGATGAGCTAGGAGCACACGTGCTGTCTCCTTTAATTCTCACAACCCTGACGGTGGTGCTGTTCTCCTTACCCCCTTTAGGGTCGCACTGAGCGCTGCCCAGTGGATCCGGAGGCAGAAGCCCTCGGACTTCACCACCCCATACCACCTTGCGGGGAGGGGGAGAGGAAGCAGACTGGCTGAGAGAAGGCGTTAATAAGGCGTCAAAATACCAGCGACAAAGAGGGCAGAAGGAGGCACTAGGAGAGGAATGGGATGGAGACAGTGGCGGCTGCAGGCCTCTGTGTCCGCAATGAGCACAATACAGTTCACTGTGGTTATAAACTACAAACGGGTGTAAGCAGTGAATGAAATAAAATATAAGTTGTGTGCGATGTCGTGGACACTGTTGAGATAATGAAGAGAGTATTGATGACCCCAGTTCCCGACAAGGAGGTAGATTCTGAGTCAGCTTCGGCGACAACTCCCTGAATGTTTGCTGAGCACCGTCGGCAGGCTACCCTGCTCTTCCTGCCATATCACTAGATGTGACAGTTCACAGAACAAAGTCACCGTCCTTCCAGAGCTTACATTCTAGCTTACATCCTCAATGTGTCTGTGAGCTACCAAATTAGGCTAAAAAAACAAGACCTCGGTGGCCAGACCGTCAGAAACACCAACTCAAAATTACATTCAGAAAGAAATCACGCTCACATCTGTGAAAATGGCCTTGGGGACCCAGGGCACAGAGACACAGAGGGGAAGAGCTCACAGAGCCAAGTGGCAAAAGGATGGGTGTGCTCACAGCAGGAGGACCGGGGCGGGAGGACGACGCCACGAGGAAATACAGCTGCAGGCACGTGGCTTGTTGCTGCCTGGAGATGGTCAAGGGGTGCTCGCCACACCAGCTCAGCTCCCAACGGGACGGGAACGCCGCAGGCTGCTGCATGTGTGACCAGGCACAGCTATAAGACCTAAAGTCTTACCCGGCGGGTGTGGCTTTGTGGTTGAGCGTTGACCTATGAACCAGGAGGTCACGGATCAATTCCCTGGTTGGGGCACATGCCCAGGTTGCAGGCTCGATCCCCAGTAGGGGGTGTGCAGGAGGCAGCCGATCCATGATTCTCTCTCATCATTGATGTTTCTATCTCCCTCTCCCTCTCCCTTCCTCTCTCTGAAATCAATTTTTTAAAAACTTTTTTTAAAGACCTAAAGTGCTGACATTAGTGCTTCCTCGAACTTGAACTTTCCTCCCCTGCATTTCCCACTACAACGAACAGCAGTCGCGTTTGCCGGCACAGAAGCCGCGGAGGCAGCGGCCTGGGAAGAAGGAGCCTGGGGAGATAAAAAGGGCAAAAAGGCAGAAAAGGGTACTTGCCGCACTGTTTCCTGCAGTCAGATGCCTCCGTCTCGTGTTCATAAAAATGTATGCAAACTATATGCAAATTTGCAGATGCTAATGCTAATTCTCCCATAGCCTGCCTATTTCACTATCCTTGCCTCTGACCTTGGAAGGTCCAAGGGTATGGACAGCAGGACCTTGGCAAAGGCAGCCACAGGCCATGGCCTACTGTCTGGCCGGGGTCCATGGCCAAGCCACACAGAAGGACGAGCAAGGCTACGAGGTGATGGGCTCGCACTCAGCCGAGAATCCTGGCAGGTCCACTCAGCTTGCGGGGGTGGGGGAGGGGAAGAGCACGTGGAGTGTGAAAGGCACTTGGAATCAAAGAACCAGGGACCATGGAGGCGACGGCTGGAGTGCCCAAGATGCCACCTGAGAAAACCATTTACAGACGCGTGCATTACCCCGAATCCAAATGTAGGAACCTGATTAACTTCTCGATGAAGTCCTCTCTCCCAATAGACATCGGTAGTGAAACACAGAAAAGGGTTCGAACGCTGGCACACTCTTTCCCTTCGATGGGCGTTGGCCTGGCATCTGCTGTCCCGCCCTCTCACACGAAGCTCAAAACCTCTGTTGCGTGGACAGGCAGCTTTCCTAGCGCCTGTGGCCCGTCTGCTCTGGACAGAGGTGAGGGTTGTCCTTTGGCTCAAGGCCAGAGACTCCGCTCATTTTACCTGCAAGTACCTGTTCTCTATACTTTGCTGCGAAAACACACACACACTTTCCTGCCCGGAGAGTGGCAGGCTGGTCGCTCTGGCGCCCCGGCTCTGCCACAGATGGCGCTCACTGCCAGGCCTGAGCTGCACGCACACACGTGAATTTGCGTGCACACCTGTGCCTCCTGCGTGTGTGTAGGGCAGCTGTGACCCTCAGCCCTCCATTCAGGGCAGCTCTCTGAATGCCTAGCTCCCCCTTTAATCACACCTCCCCTCCCGCCCTTCCGACTCCCAATGAGGCTGCCAATCAAACTGCCACGCCGAGTGGCAGGCTGAAACCTCAGAGCAAACCCGTCATCCAGCTACAAAGGTCCCTGAGCCCAGCACCAGACAGGAACAAAGGCTGTGCGCCTGCTGTGATTATGAAAAGATAAAGCAGCTCTGAGTCCAACCACAGGCACTTCAATTACCACGCTATCCTGCCAATGGGCTGATGGCCACCCCTTTTAATTGGCTCCTCTTGTCTCTGGAGGCGTCGAAAGAACCCATCGCTGGCTCCCCCGCCCCCCATCCCCACGGGGAGACAGGACAGGAGCAGGCACCAGCCCCTCCTCGGTGACCACACCGGACCGTGGCTCTGGCACTGACCTTCCGCAGAAGAAAGCAGATGCGTTCGATGTTCCTCAGCCGTTCCCTCTGTCAGGACGCACGAGAGAGAAAGGAGAGGCGGGTTAGAGCGAGGGACGCCCCCACAGTGACCTCAGGAGAGGAGGCAGCCCCCGCCCGAGGCCCCTCCCGGCCAGAGGGCGTGCAGCCCCCAGCGGTGGCTTTTCCTAACGAGTTTCCCCATCTACCTGGTCACCTGCTCTTAGAAGAACTCCACCAGCAAACAGTGTGGGCTCAGCCTCCCTCTCTCCAGCAGAGGCGTCTGGACTGTTTCTACACAAAGTCTCGCTCACCTCCATGCACCTGTAAGCGGTCAGGCTGCTGACCGGCACCACGTGCTCACTGACTGTCCCAAAGCCTGCAGCCGGCCCCCCGGGAGGACTTCCCGCGAGGGTGTCAGAGAGCATGTCTGAGGAAGGGACGTTCTCTGCCCATTGGCTTTGTCTGTCTAGAGCAGCGGTTCTCAACCTGTGGGTCGTGACCCCTTTGGGGGTCGAATGACCCTTTCACAGGGGTCGCCTAAGACCATCGGAAAACACATATATAATTATATATTGTTTTTGTGATTAATCACTATGCTTTCATGATGTTCAGTTTGTAACAATGACAATACATCCTGCATATCAGATATTTACATGACGATTCATAACAGTAGCAACATGACAGTGATGAAGTAGCAACGAAAATAATTTTCTGGTTGGGGGTCACCACAACATGAGGAACTGTATGAAAGGGACGCGGCCTTAGGAAGGTTTAGAACCACTGGTCTAGAGTGAGTGTACTTAAAGGAAGTAATCTCCCCCTAAATGAGACCCCAGGAGCGCGGCATCCCACAGCTTCTGAGAGAAACGCATCACCTCACTCAGCAATCACTTGTAACCCAGGCCCTTCTGTGCTGTTGTCACCCACCAGGGAGGTCGCTTTTTCAGGCCACCTGGTCCTGAAATGCCACTGCAGGGGCCCTCAGGCCTGAAGATGAGTTAACGAGGCATCAGAGCGTTTAACAGGACTCCTGCCAGGGAGTAACATCATAAGAACTGGGAAAACGTGGGTTTTATGGATTGTTTTAAAATCTCAGACAAGCCCGGCGTGGCTCAGTGGTTGAGCGTTGACCTATGAACCAGGAGGTCATGGTTTGATTCCCGGTCAGGGCACATGCCCGGGTTGCCGGCTCCATCCCCAGTGTGGGGCCTGCAGGAGGCAGCCGATCCATGATTCTCTCTCATCATTGATGTTTCTATCTCTCTCTCTCCCTTCCTCTCTGAAATCAATTAAAAAGTATTTTAAAAAAGAGAATGCTGCCATAAGCCTTCCAGGTTTAGATGGCATCACACTAGCAAATCCTGATTCAAACAAAAACTTGCTTTAGCGCTGGGCACCAGGGCCTGGAAGGAGCTTCAACTAACATAGGCCCAGCGAGTGTGGATGGAGCCACACAATTAAATGAGTTGTGTGTGTGTGTGTGTGTGTGTGTGTGTGAGAGAGAGAGAGAGAGAGAGAGAGAGAGAGAGAGAGAGAGAGAGAGCGATGCTCCATCTCTTGAGCCCAGCAGGGCTGGTCTGGAATGAGTTCGGAAAAGGCTCTGTCCACACACATGGTTGGCCCCTGGCTCCAGGACATGGGCTGGCATGACCAGAGAAGCGGGCAGCCAACACCCACCCACTCAACAGAAGTGAGGTCCTTCTCCAGGCCCTGCTTTCATGCCTCTCCCTGCAGCCGTTCCAGGGCAGGGCAGCAGGCACGGCCCATGAGCAAGATGGGCGGTGAGACTCTGGGCACAGCACGTGCTGCACCCGGGCCAGACAACCAGACGTCAGGAGAGTCCCCAGGGGCAGGCGACCTCGAGCCCACAGAGCTTGTCCAGATGAATGCTTCCTGGTGACGGCTATGGGGCTAGGAGCCTGGACATCAACCCACCCTATCAGAGCGGGGCGACCACTAACGATGCTCCTATACCTGCCCAACATGGGGACACCACGGAGCTCCCTCCCGTTCAGCCAGGCCTTGAGGACTCAACAGCCACAACACAGCAGGCATTTCCCACCTGGGCCCCTGGGGCTGCCATACTTGACTCGCAAGAGAAATCAAGGCCTCAGCAGGCCCGGAGAACAAGAAGTCCCCTCAACAGCCTTGAGCCAGGCGTGGAGGTACAGTCAGAGCTGGGAATGTTCTCTACTCGTCCTACGCATCGGAACCTCGCCCTCCTTCCCAGGCCCTGGGTGGCCTGTGGGGGCACTCCCTGCCCCGCCACCAGCACCCTCCACTTACCGCATGTACGGGGTTGCACTGGTCTATGGGGCTCTTAAAATCTGTCCTCAGCTCATCGAAGGCAATGATCTGAAACGAAACACACAGAATCGAGACGTTAGAGCAAAGGTGTGTCACTACGACACGACGAAAGCTTCCTGGAGATTTGCTGCCAGTAACAGAGGAGGCAGGAGGTGGGTGTCAATGACAGGGGACCGGGTGGAAGTCGGCCCCTGTGGAAGCTGCGACCCCAAAACAGGAGACGGCAGGGATCTTGTTAAAGGGCTCACTGTTGCAACTAGTGAATAAACAAGCCCAGGAAATCTCATCCCCAGTGCAGTGGTTCTAGACAACAAAGCTATTATAGTAACAATGAAGAGAGTCGATCCCGATGGCTCCCAGTGCTAGAAGGAATGATAATTATGGGATGGCACAGAGGTGTGAGCGAACGCGACCGTGGCAACCACATTGCAATAAACACGTGTCACCTTAAATTTACAGAATGTTGCATGTCAGATATGTCTCCATTTTTTTAAATCCCCAAAATAAAGGGTTTTTTTTTAAAGCTTTCTGTGTTGTACAAAAGTGATGGCGAGAGGGGGTTGGGGATTGGATACAGGCGCGCAAGGAATGCACGTTCAGCTTCTCTTGTCATCGCAAGAAGCTGTGGGTTTCTTATTGCTGCTTATTTTGGCAGAGAAGCTACTTGTAAGTAAAATGGACAGAAGCCGGGCAAAGGGGAAGGAAGAGACAAGAAGGCAGAGGTGACGGCAAGAGAAACAGCCCAATCTCCGTCTGTCCGCAGGCTGATCCCCAACTCTGGACAGTCAAGGCTTCGCAGCGGGGCCGTTGGGTCAAGTTCACTCTGGACTGAGCCCCGAGCCCCCCAGGAGCGATGGTTTCCCCACTTGTCTGGAGGGGGGAATGTTGGAGGGGACCTTCTCCAGCTACAGAAGGAGGCACAGCCACAGGAAGAACTAACTAGAGGTGAAGCTCCCCAGCCCGAGCCACCTCGTCCCAGGAAGGGTGACTCGATGACAGAACAAGGTGGTATTTGGCCAGTGGTCTGCGCATAAATGGACATAAGAGCCCCCCGCCGTGACTGCGCTCCCCAGGGGGGGCCAAAGCAATGAAGCCAGTACACCCCCCATACGTCCTTGTTCCAGAAACAAGGGGCTCAGAATACTAGTAAGTCCCACGTGAGTGAGAGCAACGTACTTCCCTCTACGGAGCAGGTATCATCTTATTTTTAAAATATTTTTATTGATTTCAGAGAGGGAGAGATAGATACATCAGGGATGAGAGAGAATCATGGATCGGCTGCCTCCTGCACGACCCCAGCTGGGGATCGAGCCTGCAACCCGGGTGTGTGCCCTGACCAGGAATCGAACCGTGACCTCCTGGTTCATAGGTCGATGCTCAACCCCTGAGCCACGCTGGCTGAGCAAAGCGGGTATAATTTTAAAGCAGCCACGTGTCATCCTGATCTCAATACTCCCGCAGAATTAGGAGAAAATTCTCATATCGCTTATATTCAACAGACACATTTCCCTATCACCCCTTGCTGGGTAATTAGCCAGCCTGTACTTGAGGCATTTAGGAACAAGAAACTTGTCACTCACTGGCAATGCTCACTCCATTCCCGGCTACCTCTAATTAATCACTGTCTTCCTGTATTGAATTTACATATGACTCCTTGAGGCTTCCCCCCACGGTCTACACCAGGGTCAGCAAAGTACAGCCCGCAGGCCAAATCCAGCCTGCCACCTATTTTTGTACAGCCCGTGAGCTAAGCATGGTTTTCATACACTTTTTTAAATAGCTGGAAAAAAATCAAAAGAAGAAGAACATTTTGTGACATGTAAAAATTACATTCAAATTTCAGCTTCCATAAAGTTTTATTGGCAACAAGACACACTCGTTCTTTTATATACTGTTCCTGTACACGTTCGCACTGCAAAGTTGAGTCGTTCTACAGACACCGTCTGACCCGCAAAGCCCAAAATAGTTTCTATCCTGCCTTTTACAGAAGAAAAAAAAGATTGCCAATCCTGGTCTAGTCTTTTATTTGCCCTCTAGAGCTGCACTGTCCAATACGGTGGTCACATTTGGCTATGCAAATTTAAATTTTAATTGGTTAAAGTTCAACTTAAAAGTTGGTTCCCACATTTTAATTGCTCAAACGCCACATCAGTCTAGCAGCTATTAAGCAGCACAGACATAAAACATGCTATCGTCACAGAAAGCTCCAGTGCAGGGGTTCTCAACCTTCTGGCCCTTTAAATACAGTTCCTCATGCTGTGACCCAACCATAAAATTATTTTCGTTGCTACTTCATCACTGTCATGTTGCTACTGTGATGAATCGTCATGTAAATATCTGATAGGCAGGATGGTCTTAGGCGACCCCTGTGGAAGGGTCATTCGACCGCCAAAGGGGTCTCGACCCACAGGTTGAGAACTGCTGCTGTAGTGTGAGGCCCATAGGATATGTCAGATCACTCTCCCAGAAGGAACCCTGCTAAAGATTGTCACCTATCATGAACCCAGCAAATCAATCTTTCTTTTTTCTTTTCTTTTCTTTTCTTTTCTTTCTCTCTTTCTTTCTTCCTTCTTCTCTTCTCTTCTTTTTTTTTTTTTTTTGGTTAATCCTCACGCAAGGATATTTTTCCATTGATTTTTAGAGCAAGTGGAAGGGAGGGGGAGAGACAGAGAGAAAAACATCGCTGTGAGAGAGACAATCGATTGGTTGCCTTCTGCACGCCCTGACCAGGGCTGGGGATCAAGCCTGCAACAGAGGTACCTGCCCTTGACCGGAATTGGACCCACGACCCTTCAGTCCTCGGCCGACACTCTATCCACTGAGCCAAACTGGCTAGGGCCCTGCAAATCTTCCTTCTTCAAGCTAAATCTTTCCAACTTTTATTTATATAAACTGGCACTAAGTTGCCTCATCATGCTAATTGCCCTCCATTGACGTTATAGGGAAATGTCCGTATTAAAATGTGACTGTCAGAACTAAACACCATCTTCAAGGTGAGATCAGCTGGCACAGAAAGTAAAAGTACCAGTCACCTCCTCTGTTCTGTAGCCTATGCCTCTATTAATGCAACCAGATAGCAGTAGTTTTTTGGGTACATCACATCCCTGGCTTCATACTGGCCTTGCATTGCTCATACTGGCCTTGCATTGCCTAAAAGCCATAGGTCTTTTTTTTTATGTGCTTCGAGTTAAACTCAGTCCAACTCATCCTGCATGCACATATTAGATTTGCGGGGGGCTTAAAGGCAGAAACCAACCTTTTCCCTGCCGGAAGCCGGTCCATCCTTGCTGCTTGACACAGTCGCTGCAGGAAAGAAACATCTGCATAGCATATGTTTCAAAGGACCTGGCGTATATAGCATACTGTTCTTAATATGTTTGCTCCCCTTAGCGCTGTGTGTTTTAACCAAGGTCACCTCTCCGAGAAAGGTTGTTTCCCCAGGTAGGAATTTTTCCCTGAAGTCAGGGAGGGGATGCCTCTCCTAGAAAGGTTGTTTCCCCAGGTAGGAATTTTTCCCTGAAGTCAGGGAGGGGATGAAACTCCTTAACTAAGTGCCAGGCGGGTAGTTAATCACTTTAACTACAAACAATCATGCTTAAGCTACATAATCTTTGCTGGAGAACCTAGCGAGGGAACATGGCTACAGAACCTGGCTGGAGAACCTGGAGAACCTAGCAAGAGAACATGGACACAGAACCTGGCTGGAGATCCTAAGCAGAACTTCGCTGGAGATCCAGACCAGAACTTGGCTGGAGATCCTGGCTGGAGATCCTGGCTAGGCTGCTGATCAACTGAACGCTGTCTCTGTGTCATTCCTTCTTTGCCGACTCCGTCCACACCTTTGGGGACCCCTGGACCTGCTGGGGTTGGACCCCGGCATTTCCCCTGTAATTACTCCCTATTCAGTGTGGTCCATTGGTCCAATCTGTTGATATATGACCTACCTCCCACCACAAATCCTAATGAACATAATGGCTCAGTATCCACATCCACATTCTCCCTGATATAAATGCCAAGTGAGCAGGCCCGAGGGCAGCGCCCGGAGCTCGCCATTCCTAGCTCCCAGGAGGCTGGCATCAGCAGTCCTCCAGCCTATTATTTATCCAACCATAGAGACCATTCACCACCCTTCGGCCCAGATAACCGATAGGAAGTCTCTGGGTGGCTTTAGAACCCCTACTGTGGGTGCACCTCATAGAAGCTCCCCAAAGAGCCTGGGAGCCCAGGGAGGGAAGTCAGGCCCTCACGTCGTGGCGGTGACTGGAGACCTGCCTGTGCAGGCCCCATGCCCAGTCCTGACCTGTGAGTGTCACCGTGTAAGTGCTAGGAGGTGGGTCTGGGCTGAAGTGGGGAGAGGAGCCCCTGGGGGGTTCTGAGCTGTCCAGCCAATAGGAGAGCAGGCGGCCCTACCCCCGCTCAGCTCCTGACCTGGAGGAAGGGGTGAAGGACGGCCCACAAGTGTAGCTCATGCCTTTGAGCTCCCTGAGAAAACAGGTCCTTCCCGGTGCTTCCTAATGATGGAGACGAGAAGGTACACGGTGAGGATAAAGGTTTCAGCATCCCCGCCCCCGCCTGGTAACCACTCACTGCCCGTCAATCATTCAGGGAGCATCCTTCACACACAGGCACTGGGCTAGGCCCTGCAGGAGCCCTGCTAAGTGGGTTTAGAGCAAATCCTCACCCTTGACATCTGGTCACCCTGGCCTGCCTCCAGCAAGAACTTAAATAAAAGTAAAAATGAGAGGGGGAAACACACACACACACACACACACACACACACACACTAAAACCCCAAGGAGCCAAATCAGTCGGCTTAAAATGTTGGGTCTAAGTTGCCCAGATGCTACAGGGGAGAGAGAAATCAGTGGCCTGGGTCTCCGCGTTCATGAAGGAAAAGCATCCTCGTTCCTTGGTGAAACCAACCATCCCCGACATTTGCATCTAAAAAGCTTTCCCTGCGCAACACACACACACACACACACACACACACACACACACACACACACACACCCCAGCAGACAGCAAGCGGGCTTAGGTTTTAATTGCAG